GAAGAAGTCTGTGCCGGGGGGATGCGAGAACGGTGGGACGGGAGGGCTCACGGGGTGGGGGTGTGGAGGGGCTGTTCCAGAGGATGGCTTTAACCAAATTATTATAAGCGAAAGAAGAAGAGAAAGAGAAGAAGAAAAATGAAACTTGTAATAAACAGCTACCATTATAAAATCAATATACCATTTAAAGAGATATACAAATTACATTTACATTAAATGTTACGGTTCCGCGATGGATCGATCCGCGATGATTTATCGAGAAAGTGACGAAGGTGTTTTGGTTCGTTCTCCCGAAGAAAAGAAGAAAATCGTTCTCTCTGTGTAACTACGAGCCTCGCGCGCTCTCTCGTTGGACGACACGTAGAAACAAAACGATTCGGATACAGAGATTTGCACTCTTTCTTTTTCACGCTCTCTCGCTCTCTCTCGCTCTCTCTCTGTCTGTTTCTCCGAATTTTCTGTAAACCGTTCAAAGATCTCGCGACGCTACGATTTGTACTCGCTGAATGATATTTACCAAGAAGTTTGGCATGATAAATGGTACCTAATATGGGTAGTCATACCGGTGTTGTGAATTTCGTGTATCCGTAAGTGATACTCTCGCGAAGGGGTGAACTTCTGGGCTGCGTAGAACTTTCAACGGTTTCCACGTTTTACCACCAATGTCCAAAGATGTTGCACGATGTAACGCGAGCTTGTAATATCAACGAACCGCTGCGTGAATGTTCTAATATTATAAATTTGCGTGAAGCGCGTCTTGAATTCATCGATATCGTGAATTTGAATGAATCTTAACGCGAGTTCGTTGATGTTAGAAGTCAGCGTTGCGCAGTGCAAGGGGTCCCTTATGAGACGATCAAACAAAAGGGAGGGTTCGAAGAGTATGCACGGGTAAATGCATCGAGAGAATGTAAATTGATCGAGAAGCTAAGCGAAGATTGCGCTATATAAAAGCTACATTGATTTATATAAATTTCAATCGATTGTAATATTACACAATTTCATTAATTACGAAGATCAAAGTAAAATAAAATACACAAAGTATGTGCAATCTTCTTCTGTCTTCTATGTACACTAGGATTGGCTCGGACCAGGGTGGCAACACGTGGAACAAATGGGAGGAGAGAGGAGAGGGAGCCGAATACGATGAAGGTTCCTTCTACGGTGACACACAAGAAGAAAGAAAAGAAGAATTAATAAATCGCGGGGTGATTTGGCATCGGCTGTACTTTCTTAAAGTCGTACAGGAGATCAATGCTTAAACATGGGTAACCAGCTACGTATCTAAATCATTATCTCTCTCCCGGTTGTATCGTCCTCGAGACTGGTCTCCATCCGGCCACGGAAACATGATCGTGTTCCCTTTCTTTTCCATAATCTCAAAACGTGTAAAATAGAATTGCATGTCAAAAGATTGGCTCCTGTCATTGTCATATAATTCGAAAAGAAAAATCGATCTATTGTCATGTGATTTCGCGATTGTTTCGAGGATATCATCAATCGAAACTATCGCGAAACACGTCAGTGGATTTACCGGCCTCTCAGCCTTCGGCTAACAGATTCAGGATGAATGGGAACAGTAATTTCTAAAGTTAATGAATTTCAATTTTTTTTTTATTAGTTTTTAACTGTAATTACCAGATGGACACTATAGTTTTCAAGTGGATGCTATAGCTCCCGAATACCTAGACATTATAGTTCCGTAGTAAATGCTGTAGCTTTTAGATACTTAAATATCGTAGTTTCTAAGTAGACGATACAGCTTTGAAATATTTAGATATTATAGTTCTCAAGTAAAACCTATAGCTTTCGAATCTATAAACACTATAGTCTCCCAGTAAATACTACACGTTTCAACTACGTATGATATTTCTCAAGACAATACTGTATTTCCAAAAGCAACTCGAAGATTCGCTTTTAAGACCTATAATTCCCATATTTTCACGTAGGTATTATATTTCTCAAGGCAATACTGTATTTCCAAAAGCAACTCCAAGACTCGCTTTTAAGACCTATAGTTCCCATTCATCGCAAATGCGTTAGCATGTCAAGTTACAAGGTCCGCGGGTCTCCAGCGAGGATCGAACTCGTCGCTGAGGGCCCGCGGGGTCTGAATTGAGACAGCCTCTGTTTCCAAGGGCCCGCGGACCAGGCTCGAACGGGCCTTCACTCTGTCTATGTTTCGGCGCGAAACGCAAATGCACTTTCCACTTACCTAACCTACGGGCTTACTTAAAAAAAATCTACGTGTATCGTTATCCTAAAAAATATTTATATAATTTGTTCTCTGCTTACACTCTCGTCCGAAGTGTACGACACGTTTCCACGGATCCAAAATATTCGTCTGGTCGAAAAAAGAAAAAGATTCATCCATTCATCCCCGCCCATCGCTTCATACTCAACGATATCGAACGGACAAAATATATTACATTAATTTCATGAAACTCGTCAACTCTCATACACTCATACGCTGTCTCTCCCTCTCTTTTTCTCCCGCTCGACAAATTATTTATTTATTTATATATTTATATATATATATATATATTTATATATTTATAACGCTAAATCGTTACTCTGATCCTAAACCTACTTTCAAGAAAAAGATAACGACACGATGAATTACATGTACATACATAAAATAAAAAAAGTAGAAGAAACGTAGAGAAAAGGAAAAATAGAGGATAGCAACAACCTTGATCACCGTACCGTTCCTATCGTCTATCCCTTTAGGCACGGTGATTGTTACTATCTTTTTTTTCATTTCCGTGGCATGGCTACGAAAAATATATGTGTCTCTGGTTAGTCTCTCTGTGTAATGCGTACGTGTGTATGTGTATGTGTGTCGGTGTGTGTACATTATAAACGTTGCGACGAAAAACGGAGCGATTTGTATCTTTCTTCCCTTCTTTTTTTTTCTCTAAATTCACTGGCCACCGTTTTCCGTCCACATATTCATGGCGGATAAATCTATGTGAATGGCACAGCCAACGGACCTCGCGCCTCCTGCCAGAGCTTGCCACTGCCTTTCTCGTTCCTCCTGGGGGCAGCGGTAATACGCTTCTCGCTCGCCAGCTCCGACCTGCTTGCTCCGTGGTTTCCCGGCCTCTCTCTCTCTCTCTCTCTCGCTCACTCTTGCTCGAGCGCGACAAAAGATGGAAGAAGGACAGCGAGGCTGAAGGAGGAAGCTCGGAAGAGACTCCTTAGCTGCGTATCTGACCTGCGTTGCGGGCCATTTTCTCCGGCGGCTCTATCATGCTCTTCGCGCTACCGTTTAGGCTACGTTTACGACTCTTCATGAAGTCTGAAAGCACACAAATAACCATACGTTTACATGCTAGTCGAACCTAATATATTAAGACGTTTTACGATTAAATTTATCGAACCCGAGCGATGCCCGCTCGAAAATATTTCGGTCGTATCTTAGGCGGACGGTAGTATCTGTCCGTTTAGAGGGGAAAAAAATGGATGGCTCGTATTTTTTTATGGAGCGGACTGTACCATTCGCCGCGTATTTAATGCATATCATTTTTACTGTTTCGACTGGCGAGTCTTGAATTTTAAACGCGGAGTTAGAGGCTTGATTTATCGGCGAGTGACGTTGATGGTTCTATTTTTCATGGTCTCTGTAGGTACATTCGAATTCCAATCGTGGAATGGCAAAAATAAAGGATTCTTTCGTATCGATAGGACACGCTTTTTCAAAATACCAGACTCACCTGTAAAAGCGCAAACGTCGTATCGTAGATGTTACATTTTTAATATCGAACTTTCGAAATCCTCCGTTTCGTTTGTTCCGTGTAATTCAATATTCCAATGCGTGCGATAGATAATATTAAAAAACGAGAATTATTCAATCTCGTGTCGCTTCTGTAACTTGTTTAAAAAAAAAAGAAAAACCCTCGCTCGAATCGGCCGTCCTCCTCAACTTTTATCGCGAGAACACAGGCACAGTTATCTCATCAGCCATGGCCTCGGACAAGTTCTGGTTAAATGGCAACTCAACTTCGCCTTTGTAGCGAGGAGAAAAAATACTCGCTCGAAAAAGACCGTGATTCGAAGAAGGACCGAGGTCGTCCGAGAATCTGGATCCTAATCACGTGCAAATATAAAGCTCGACCTCGTGCATCTTCGATAACCCGGGGAACGTAATATCGGCACATCGTGCCCGTTAATTATATCAGTGGCAGATACGGTAACCCGTCGGATCCTCGCGGAGTCCGACGATAATTAAAACATGCCACGGGCTCGGTGTAATTTTCTGTCTTTAATACGCGAGATGTTGTATGCGAACCTTTAATGAGTCACGATAGAGGAAGCCTGCGCAAAAACACGGCCTGCGCCGGGTGATACTCGTGATCATGAGTCACGTCGCGTCGCGTTCAATTCCACATAGCCACAAAAACCACCCCATCCCCAATGCCACCCTCTGACCCTATTGGTACGAACATTTGGCGAATTTTCCACGGGGAAAACCCCACCCATCTGTCCGATTTCCCGACCTAACCCCTCCGCTTCGGAGCTTCCCGATCGGTACGGCACGCGACACGAATTATGGAGATCGCCGTAACAGCTGCGCGCGAACGGTCATGACCCCACCTCTCTCTAATCTCTTACGGTCGTTAATCAAACGAAAAAATAGAAATTAGTCACCGCGACGGAGACGCCAACGTCTGCCATTATTTTCTGTTGCCGGCGAGAAGCACGAACGGTTCGAGGGTGATTTTATCAATACCTGGAATTGCTAGCAGCAGATTGACCAATGGGTTTCTACCGTTAGGTTCATTCGTAAGCAAAATTCATCAGCTCCAGTTCATCGATCAACTGACAAGAAGTTCAAAAATTACTTTGTTCCTGCTAGTATTCCCAATATTACGAGCCCGCTCAAGAACTTACACCAATCTTCCTTGATCTCACTAAAAACTCCTAACAACTGAAGATAACTACCAACCACTCCCAATTACCAGATTCTCCAAGCCCCAGGTACCATCCAATTAAAAAATACCGTAGAAAAATGCTTCCCATATCTATACCCGTGATCAAGCAGGACGATTCATCGATGCCCGTGTAAACGCACTCATCAACCCCTCCGTTCCAGGTATCACCCTCTCATCGATCAGCGAGCTTTGCAACCGGCGAGGTGTCGGGTCGGTTCGCGGAATCGTTGCGTGCAATTTAAATACGTAGCGCGCATGCGGGTCGGCCGAGCAATCCCGATTTTAAATGCCAAGCGAGCCACCCCGCAGGCCATCCACCCCGAGGGCTGGGGCGATTGTGAGCACAGCTGATACCCCCATGCGAGCAGGAGGCGAGTGCACACACTCGTCGGAAGGTCGCACGCGTGAACAAAAGCCGATGACCGAGGGTGCGCGCGGCGGAGGCAGGGGTAGATGTACGGGGGTGCAACCCCATATGGACGGCACAGCTGACCGCGCTGGCTCATTAATAACGTACGTTAGGAAAATCAGTCGCCCCCATAGCGCCGACGAAAAGGTACGTTACGAGCGGTTCGCCTCCCGTATACTCGAAACCGTCGTGCAAGGGGTGCAGGGAAGAGGAGCGTGTCGAAGGATCGGCCGCCACCCCATATCGATCCGGTTAATCGAACCGCGGCACTATCGCCCCGCGCGATACCATCGGGAAAATAATAACGGTTACTGTCACGAGCCGCAGCACGCGACCCATGGAAGCCGAGCCGCGAAATAAACGGCGAAGGTAAGGCCCATTACGCGTAATCTAGAGCAATTAGCTCCACGTTCGAACGAGCGCAGTACTTTACGGGAACGACCGCGACCGGATCTTCCTGTGGGGCGCGTTATTATTGGCCGGGATTTTTTTAGACGCGAACGGAACCTGCAACGATGAGGAGAAATTAATTTATATAATTTCATTTCTTTTCTCGATCGGGTATTGGCGATTCGAGAACCAGTCGTATGGGACTGGTCTGTTTAAATAGCTAAACCTACCGGCGTTTGCTCTATACTTTAATTAAATGCGACACACCTGGGCTTATGGGAGTTCCAACGTTCCAAGAACTGCGTATTCGAGTTCGCGTACACTGGTAACTAATTGAACTTGTCTTTTTTGGGGTTGACCGTAGATATACAAATTTATGCATTTTAATACTATCAAAGACTTCTAGAAAAATTCGTAACTTCAACGGTAGGAATGATTCTAATTGATCTCTAAGCTTCTAGACTCTTTTACCGAAGTTTCTGTGAACTTTTGCAATTCTTTTACTCGACACAACAATTCTGCCGTTTAATTTGCTAGATCTCCTGCAAACTACCCGCAACTTCGAGTTAAAATCACGGTTCCCCGTGGACAACGAACCCTACGCAATCGTAATTCATTGATCGCCGGCTGGTCGCTTAAGCGTTAACGTTCTTCATTATCTGCCAATCCATCGTAACGAGTCCTTTCGAATTTCGCCCGAGGGGAGCCTAGCCAGACATCCTCCGTCACCCATGCCCGTATTAATACAAAATCAATGCCGCCCCATGCAACGCGCGCGCAGTGGCTCGGGCTCGTTAGCGCAGCGTACTCAAAATATACACGCGCTTTCCCCGCCTGACAGTTTCATCCAGCGCGCGTCCCGGCGGACACAATGTGACGTATAAACAAAAGAGCGTCGCGTCGCGTGCTTCTGCGACGCAAAATGTGTTTACGGTCCGCGTAAGATGCACGGCGTGCGGGACACATGACGAGTCACGGCCAGAAATAGTGGCGTCGCGTGGGTGGTGTGCACGGCCGACTAATAAATAGGCGAAAAAAGGGGAAGTAAACCGTGAGGTACACCACACGGACAAAATGGCGGTCCGCGACATCGCTGGAACGCGACACGGAAGACCCGCACGCTCCGTTCGGGACTTTCCAAATACTTGGCGCCTCTCTCGCGGCATTTAACCATATCTCGAAACTACAGAAACTCGTAATTACGTATTTTACGCAATTGCAGACATGCAACCGAGCGAATTATAAGAAACCGTTTAACAAGATTTATATATTCTAATTGTTAAATAATTTTTGCTAAAGTCTTTTCACATAGAGGAAACTATATTTGATCAAAGGTCCGCAGTTTACTTATAATATTTATAAAATAATGTTATTATTGATTTCCACGCTTATTTTGCCATGCAATAGGTATTTAGTAGACAGCTGTCCGCAAAAATTCTCTCAGTCATTTCAAGAACCCAAACTGACCTGTTTTCGTTCTCGGAGACCGCGCTAGCAGTTCAACGGTTCGAGATAATCGATAGGCGAATATGCATAATAATGTTTATCGTTATGTCATACGTGTTTACCCGAGGACCGAGTACATTTATTATCGAACGATGCTTATCCGTGCTAAAAATATATTCCCTGGGCGTTATTTTCAAGCTTATCGACGAACCGTGAGTGTACGATCGTTTTTATCAATCTACGCATTCGTAGGAACGCGTCTTTTTATTGTCCCGAGGACGTTCGCCCGTAGATCGGCCTCGATTCCCAATCAACACACCGGAGGCCCCAGCTTTACCAAACAACGGTCGCGTTACGCGAAATCGTGCATGCACGATGAGGACGCGCACCGCGCCGATTGCTATTCATTCGTATGGTATCAGGTGCTTACGTAATTACGTAAATCGCGTAGACCTCGTCTGCCGGCCGGCGAATTAGATTGACCTAAGCTGTACGCGTTTCCCGTATAAATAATGCCAGCCAATTAACTCCGATAATGCGCGTTAATCGAACGGAATAATTCAGGAAATCTCTTGCTCTCTCGTTCTCCTCTCCACCTTTCGGCGTTCCTCGGTCAATTATGTAACGCGGCTCTTTCGTTGTAACTGTTCGAGAGAGATTAACCGTTCGCGATGGGAAAAAGAAAGAAAAAAGAAGACGAAGAAGAAGAAGAAAAAGAAGAAGAAGAAAGCGAGTCGTTGAGGTTTGACCGAGAAGCATTCGGTGGACAAAAAAAAGCACATCGCGAGACGTCGAAACAAACATTGCTGATTATCTCGCGCGAGAGGCTGATACCGTCTGCGGCTTTTGGAAAAAAATATCGACGACGGCAGATACGAGTACGAAAACATGCAACTCGCGTGCAATATACGATTATCTCGGCCGGCGGCGGACTTGAAACGCGGGAGAAGGAAACGACGCGTGGGAAGTCGGAGGGCGCTTTCAATTCGCCGCGGCTCATTAACGCGTCTATCCGACGCTTTCCCTCGATGTTTATACGCGGCGCGATGCCTGCTAGACGTCCCGCGACTCTGCGGGTAAATATCTCAAGGAACTTGCACGCGAACGCGCCGCGCCGTTTGAATTTCGCGCGCTAACCGGTGCACCGGCGTTGACTTTTTGCTCGGCGCCAGGGGTTCTCAACCGGAGAGCGGCCGCGAGCGCTGGTTCACGCGAGCCACGGCGAATTACGGTCTGTCTCTCTGTCGTTGGTCGCGTCGTTTTATTTCGAAACGGTACTCGCCGCGAAATATCAAAAACACGGCCGCTGCAGCGCACAGTTAACTCGCGTTAATAAATAATTAAGCCGATCGACCTCGAGACCAGCCGTCCAATCAAAACAAGCGGTTCATTCAATGAAGAAACAGTCGGTTCCATTAAAATTACACGGTAAAAAAGGGGGAGGAAGGGTGGGGGCGGGGCGGAAGCTTTTCCCCCGTACACACTGACGCAATCAGCGCTGACTCCTTTCGACCGTGTCGAAACAAGCGCACGTGTTTGCGCGACCAGTTTCGTTTCCAACGCGCAATGGCGGTTCGCGTGATAAATGCAAGAAAACAACGTTCTAATGGAAACTAATTATCATTCTCTGTGACGGGGTTCATTAAAACGCGTTTTACTTATCCCTTTAACGAGATACAGTATCTTAGAAAAATGCAGCTGAAGTCTGCAAAAATGTGCATGGGAAAATATCATCATTATTGTTTCCGTGTTAACACTAGAACTACCAGGGAGATCAAATTGATCCATTCCTAATTGCTTCTTTAATAATTATTAAAAACAACAGATAATTCTCTGAGAAATTACTATAGAAATTTTTTCAACGACAGACAAACTGAGAAGTAAATCAACAGAAATCTCAATAGTAGTTTTCACAGAAAAATTTGAAAAAGTCAATTTGACTGTTCGGTAGTTCTAGTATTAACCCTTTGCAATCGAGAGGTAACTTTCAGTCACCATTCATACAGTAAAACTATAAAATTTGATATTTAATATTATATTTTCTATAATGCATCATTTTGAGAAATATTCAAATATAGCTTTGTTCCTCAATGGGTGATTTCTCGTCGACTTAGTTTCACAAAATATCGATTTTATCTTATCAGAAAATGTTAAAATATTTCCAGTGAAAAACTTCCGAGTGCAAAGGGATAATCAGAAGGAAAAATAAATGAAAAGGTCGGGTAGTTCTAACTTACCGGTGATAGAGGACTGTTTCCTCGTCGCGGAGGTTGATAAAATGGGGGTAGTGGGTTCGACGATGTACACCTTCTTCTCCGCCTCTAGGTCGAATATTTCGTTCATGGTGACCTCGCCGATTTGTGGTACCCTCGGTTCTTGAGGCGGCGTTCTTTCCGACTTCTGAAGGATCGGAGTGGTCGCCGGGGTCTCTTTACGAAGGAATTTCTTGGTGGGCGAGGAGGAATCCTGTACCTTCCGAGGCGTACCAGGCGCGTGTTTCCTTAAGTAGGGCATACCGCGTAGGGCATAGGGCTCTGGCACCACGTCCTGCGGTGTGACCAGCTCCCACTCGTACCTCGAATTCGCCCGCGGTATCTCCAAGTGAAAGTCGAATCCCCATCTCTCGGCGTCGAGTATGGATTGAGCGCGAAGCTCCCGCTCGGCTAACGCGCGAGCTGCGGCGTGATCGACGGGACCGAATAGATCCCTTCGAACACGAGCGAGGGCTGCCCTGCTAGGCGCCGTTCGTCCTCCACCCAGATTCCGACTCATTTCCGTCATCATCGCCGGATTCAACACTCGTGCGCTCATATTTCGTTAGTCTACCGTGCAACGGCAACGTCGCCGTTTACCAAAGTTTTATTATATGTGTACCGAATAACCGATGGTGTTCCCAAGCGAGCGAGACACGGCTTCTGCCTCTGTCTCTCTTTTCCGCCGCGGCGAGTCCTCTCTATCTATCGCACGTCGTTCGTGTCCCGACGACGTTTTCGGTACGCGATCTCCGTGTGTTCCCCCACTTGCTCGCGCACCACTTTTTCTCGACGACTGTTAACCCAAGCGCACCGCACGAGATCATTAAGAGTTGTCCGTCCGTGCATCGATTTCGACGCGTTCACACGTGTCCCATTTACGGAGATGATTCTTCCAGGAATCGTTCACTGGACATTGATGTTCTCGCGGCACAGCGAAACGTGGCAACGCTGGTCGTGGCGCGACCCACCGAATTTCGAATAATGGCCGTGCTCACAGCGTCGCCTCGGGACTGCGCTGATCGTTGACTCGCTCGTGTAAGCGAATTACACTTCACGAATAAACGTTTCACGGCACACACCCACGGAACCTGCAGTTTTATTTGCTCCGAACGAGATGCGTATCGCTTCTTGCCGACCGTAAGCGTGCACACGACCGAGAAGAAAATTTGGCAACACGGTAAACACTGTATTGCGTATACCAACGAAGGGAGCGAGAGACCTTATCAAAACAGCAGACCCGGCTATCTCATCATTCGCGAGAAGTTCCTCGGACAGCTCGACGTTGTAGCTACACGAAACAATGTCCGGTGATTAGTCATGAAGTTGAATCGAGAATTTCCTGCTCGTTTCTCTCATAAATTGATCGTGTAGCCCGCGGGTAGAACGAACCGGCAACGTCGCGCGCACTTGCGCGTGAGCCTCCCAGAGACGGAGATGAGCGTGTGTTTCTCGACGTGTTCCCGCGAAGAGGCCACGACGATGTTATTCGAATTTCAAATCGGCCACGTAACCGTGTATACCAACTTCAAAATTGTCCGGACCACGCGAGGCGGTCAATCACAACAACCGTGACACAAGTCCCTTATACACGGCACCAACAGATATTTCACGGAAAACGTTATTGCACACGGCCCGAAAGCACCAATATGCTGTTCGCTGGCGACCCACGGAACCACCGTATTGGCTCCGACACCGCGTAATATCCAAAGTTCCGGAGTAACAGACTTCCCGCCAAACACACGACTGTCAAGACACACGCGTGGTTCCAAGTTCGGCGGAAGGTCGAACACGATTGCGCAGTTATGTTGACGCTCTACGAGGTGCGTGCGTGCTGTGTAACTGGAGGAGTTGCGCGAAGACACGTCCCACACGTGAAAAGCGCTCTCTAGCGACTGAAGTGTGCGCTTCTCGTTGCAGGGAACCAAGCCTCTAAACGCCTCGGCTATCCTCGGCTCTCTTCGGCTAATTCGGTGCCGCGCCCCCTGCCCCGCCGCGTCCCTCGCCCTATCCCGTTCGGCGAAGGAACGAAATAACCGCCATTCGCAGAGTATAGTCCCTTCGACCTGAGCGCAGCGATTCGCCTCTTTGAAAATACGCACGAGAAGCTTGTACAGTTATTGGCCCCTTCTCCACGACAATATAAACGAGCAGAATGCTGATTGTAGCGATTGGACGTGTCCCGGTATCCCAAGCTCCGTGGTAAATACCCTCAGACTTTATTTTTCTGCGTTGAGGGTACCCACTCGGTTGCTAGGATTTTCGTTTTCCACTGCGACTCGATGCTGTTCACCTCGTTTCGTATTGCAACCCAGTGTACGTGCGATAAATCGAAGGCGCAACCTTTGCATGATTATGTTAGGGTACATGTTTGCGTTGCTGTGTATATTTATTGTTATTGCTATAAATATTGCCGGGTGTATTTTAATTATTAGACCCGCCATGTGGTTGAGTTTCGAAATTTGGAATAATCGATTGTAGATTTTTTAGTAACGTACTCATTCAAACAAAGTAATCCGTAAGCACAAGCGCGGTCATGCGTGGAAGTTAATCGACAAAAAAGCGAAAACGCACCGTGTATTGACAAAGGGGCACAAAATAAACAAGTCCAGCTTTCAAAACAACGGTTGTAATCTTATCGCGGACACTCGTATGTACGTTTATTCGGCGGATTTCCATGTTTGCATGGCAATACGTTACGCACAGTGAATTTATTTGCATACTGTTCAGATTATCGCCGACATTTTATTTCGACTGATAGACACCGTGATAGTTCCAACGCCGCGATGAGAATTAGACCATCATACTTTCAATTTTGATAAACTCGGTCGTCGGGGCATCTTTCTCGAAAAATTGCACCCTATGTAATACATACCACTAATGTAAACCCTGAACGTATTCTACGCGTACTCAATATTTTGATCATTTAATTTACATTTAATTTAATCATTAATCTCGGTCAGTTATGAAGCCAGGTGGCAATCCATACATCCAGTGGCATATCGACGATGCTACTGTTTACTCACCTTTAACCCCTTGCCTTACAATATTGTGTAAGACTCGTGGTGAAGATTTTAAACAGAATCTAACAAACAGAAATATTACTCAATTCTTATGAATTCAAATGAAATATTTTTCCGCTATCAGTTATATTTTAGAGCAAAGGTGGGCATAGAATATGCATCGAATTTGTCTCTTTTTCCAATAAATTATTAATGACATAGTTGTATCGATCACAATCGATAAATAAATCATAGGACAAGGGGTTAATGCCTGAAAACTCGTGAAACGTCCCCCCCTATCCCTTTCGTGGCCATTTATCTTCACGCGGGCAGCATTGTCCGATAAACATTTTCATTGCTACGATAACAGACACGAATTTCCATAATCCGCCAGTAATACGTCTATCACAACCCAGTCTACGCGTGAACAGTTACGATCTTCGTCTGGCCGATATTATGCGAACGCATAAAATGCCGGGCACGAGTTCGTTCGTTGAATTTGAACAGGGCAAGTCGACCGGCAGATGTCTGCCGGGACGCGGCTAGGAAAGGCGCGGGATCAACGAGGAGAATCGACACTTTTCATTGATAATTGTCAATTTACTTCGCCGCTGTTCTCGTGGCCTGAATCGTTTCTATCTCGCGCAGAGGGCAACGGGGAAATGTGTCGCGTCGCGTAGGTGTGACTCGGGGAGAGCAGACCGTACGCGACGACCGCGGCCAATCGGGTCTCCCGCTTGACACGTTGCTCGCACCGGTGTTGGTGCGTATCCGCTCGGCGCAGCATGGCCGCCGAACCGAGCGCCGCCATGCTCGCGCGGGAAACTTTCAAACGTTCAAATCTACGGTAAACGGAAAACACACCTGTGAACAAAATATTTTTGGTTATATCCCATTATTTTAATTACTTACCCTCTAATAGTTCCCTCGCGAGGTATATAAGAATTTTCTAAGCTTCTTATCCAACGTTCATTAATCCTCCCTCTTTTTTTTCAATGATTCCTCTCATCCATAGAAACGATCCCCAATAAGGGGGAAAAGGGGATAAAAATAGAGATGCAAATGAATAGGGTGTAAAGATGCTCACCGGCGGGGTCAGAATTCTCATGAGCGCATTGCAAAGCATGTCGTTGGGAATGAAAATCCCACGCAACATCCAGGAAGTGGTGAGGGTGGCACCGGATGCATCTCAATGAGGGGAGAACGAGCGAATGAGTCGCGTAAAACAATCCTTTTTGCGTTTCGTTGAGACTGCCGTCTCTCTTTCATCCGCGGTTAGGTGGGGTACCCGTTTAGCAAGGTATTTCGTTGCACAGGTGTTCCTCTCATGGCTCGCCCGTAGACGAAGGATGGAAAATAAACACCGGCGCCCTCCTCGTCCCCCAGCCGCCGCGGAACGTCTACCCCGTGTATCTTCCAGACGATGAGCTGTCCTAGATTATTTCTCGAGGAAGCTCATGTGTATACATCCTGAACTGGCGGGGATGACGACTATGATTGTAACCGTACCGGAAGACGCGTGGCTGCATCTGCGTCGCGATGTTTACTAGCCGGAGGGACACCTGTTCCTTTCGGCGCGAGGATTTCGCTATCGAATCCGGGTTTACCGTGGCCGCTTATCACGTCGCGTGCACGCCGCGTCACAGAATGAAAACGTTAACCGCGATAAATCATGTTTATCGAGACCAAGATGGTGGATCGAGCCCGAGGCTGCCTCGGACGGGGTTGTCTCGCGCGATCCGATAACGGATGACAAGTGGTCTTGTTTCTTTGTTTTTCGTAGAAGCTATCGGGCGATTACAGAAGCACCGCGAATTCCAAAATAAAGGATAGCCCAACGTCGATCGAACGTCGGCACTGCGCTCGTCACGGCTAGACGGTGCACCTACCGACGTGGTTGATTAACGATGCGTGGTTCGTGAAATTCCTCGAGCGGGCCCATTGTTCGACGGCTCACCAGAACAATGAAGGTGGCGCGCGTTATACGCGAGCATCTTTTGTCGTAGTCGCGATTGTGCCCACTTCCGTGGGAATTCGCGGAACGGAAGTGCAATTTCTGGCAATGGGTATACGGCGGCGCGCGCGCCGGCTCGGCGAGTCGTCGACCAGCTTCCATGCGCGCGGAGCGACGCGGTCATGGAAAAAAAAGGCCGATTCTTAAGGGCCGATGCCAGGTGCACCGGTTACCTTCTCACGAGACGTCCAGATTAATTTTTAAGAAATCCTGATACTCGTGGAATCGCGCGTACGTCGCGGCACGTCTGGCTCTCCGCGGGAGCGCGACGCGCTCGGAACCGCGACGCGACGATTTCGCCCGGGAATTGTTTTATTTATCGTCGACGGGGGGAAATTTGCATGATCCCGACGCCCAAGAGACCGTAACCGTAATTGTTCAATTAGCATAGTTACGGTTAGTCACGGCGCGGGCGCGCTCGGTGCCGCCTTCCGAGAACAGAAGCATTCATTCGCGTCTCCTTGGAAGATGCATTAAACAGATGTGTCATCTCGTTCTCGTCTCTTTAGAAATTAGGTCGTGCATAACTCAACCGCCATATGCCTCGCGTACGATCCTTCCACGTCGATATATCGTGTTACAGCTGCGCCGGGTCGCCGCGGAACAGGGAAAGGACGGTGCGCCGGGGGGACAATCTCAAGATCTACGTGTACTTGCGCACTTTCTATAGAAATATATTATTATTCGTATAATAAAAAGTACAAAGCCGTGTACGCACTACAATCTATTCACATCGCGTAATATCATTCGTTCGTTAACGTAACGTGTATTGCACACTACTCCAATAAATACTGTATTAAATTAATTTGAGTAAGACCGCCGCGAGACGCGCGTATAAATAATACAGTGTCACGATCCTAGCGGAACGCCGACCTCGATTTGCCAATGTTCCCGCGAATGGTCGTGCCGTTGCGTTCCGCCGAATTAAACTTTAATAGATAACTTTGGTTCGATGGATCTTCGGGCGCTTCAACGAGCCCATTCTGACTAGGTGTTTATTTACAATTGACGCGGCCCGCGGACCGCAGATGCAGAGACTTCCTCGTGTTCCTCGGATAGAGGAATTCCGCGCGGGGAATCTCGGTAGCGGCGGGCGTTCTCCGTTATTCCTTCCGCACGCTGTCGCTCATTTTCTCGTCGTCTTTGTCTTCCGGTTGTTCTTGCATCGAGAAGTCGTCGTCCTGCGCGTCTTCATCCTGCATGACTTGCAAATTCTCTACCCGATTCCTCGTCTCCAGCGGATTGCCGATCTCGTTTCCGTGTTGATCGAGCTTCACCCACACGTACCGGCCGGGTAGCGGTTCTTCCTTCTCGAAGTCGAAGTTCCATCTTTCCTTCGCCTACGCCCATACAACACGCGAAACATAAATAACGTTCAGAGAAAAGGGGGAACGCCGTGCTCGCGCACCGCGTATCCTTTATGCAAGGTGAATTATATTCTACCGACACGTTCGCGTCTAATGACGCGAACCGCGTGTTCTAGCGAGCTACAGCTGATTACCGTTGACACGATGTTACGTCATGTTAAATGTCTTCGTTTCGAACGGTTACTTTAAACGACTAAAATTTGTAAATTGAAATATAACTTCGAACAGTCGCGTAGTAGTCGCTAAGATTTCTATATCAACTTATCGATTTTAAACTCTTCTGCCACGCGTAATTTCTCTTTATTTATAGCAGTTTTTCTTTGTTAGCAAACTATATCTCTAGGACAACGTTCAATTTTAGTAGACAGAAGAAACTGCCGTTATATCAGTTACTCACGTTCTCCCGATTCTTCCTCGCCTCCTCGAAGAAACAATTAGCAATGTTGTCCTCGATCCCGGTGTTCCGACTCCTATTGTTCTCGTTCTCGTTCGCATCGTCCTGGAAAAGCCTCCTGCGCACGCTGCGGAGTCTGCGTCCCTCTTGAACGTCCACGTTCGGATTCTGCATCGTGAGTCGGGCCCTGGTGAATTCGAATTAACATGTGTCATTCCTCGGGAAAAGTGCAAAGAAAAATCATAGCGAAAGGAATCCTTCGCAGTCGTGTTCCTTTTGCATTTTAAAAGAGCCCAGCGGAGCAAAGGAATTGATAACGACGCCGATGTAAGTTTAATTACCGGCGCGCCACGCGCGATTTAACGTACACAGTGATTCGCTGTGGTTTGTAAACAATGTGATATGCATCGAGCGGCGCTCATACTGTGCCGGTGCATGCACGTGCATCGGCGAGAGAGCGAGAGAGAGGGGCATACGTAATGGCGAAAGAGGGACAGAGAGGAGAGAGAAGAGAGGAGAAACCCGTAGCACTCTCGAACGACGCGCTACGTCCAACGGATGTATCGGAATGCATTTCACTTCCTGCATCGACGTATCCGCGCATACAGGATTATATTATAGTTATTCTATATTCAGTCGGGATGAACTTTCACGCGTAGAACAGGGCCCACTGTTAACGATTCTACGGCTGCTTTAAGCTCGAACAGGAATCTCTTTACCGAAGCCCGCCATTCGTTCGATTCTGCAGTTCAGGATGCAAACGTTACTCGCCTAGACCAATCAGCGAGGAATTTCAGCGATGTTAATTATTAGAATATTCCGAAGAGAAGGCTTTTCCGCCGTAAACACTCAATGATCGTGTATTTGGAAGCGTCATCCTTGAACGTTTGTGTTTTCAACATTAGATTTATGGAACAAGTCAATTTGACTGATACTGACTTTTGCAAGTATTATTAGACTTTTAAATCTTTAATTTTCAAAATCTAAATGAGTGAATATTCATTTCTCTAGGAGCGATGGAATAGAGTGTACATAGATTTCATTAAACTTCTTCAGTTTTCCTTTCGCGGAGTCGACTGTTTTGGCAAATGAATGGGTCGAATCGAAACGAACATTGAATTTACCAAGAAGCTCGAGGTAAATTGTCCGACGCTTTCCTCCTATCAAGATAATCAGATTGCGGAGTGCATTTATGGAGAATTTAATAGTTGAGATTTGCATAAAATCCAGACAAGGAAAATTATATCGACTGTTATATCAAAAGTACGGTGACTTCTGTAATGTTCCTTAAGGAAAACCGTTTCCCATGGTGATTCTGTTTTCTTAATTACATTCCTAACGATCTAAATTTGCACAAAGTCCAGTGATAACAGTAACACTCCATTTTGTTTATAAAGACCTCCGCGAAATCCCAGTGAACGTTCGGCAGCAAGGCCAGTTCCCCGGTGTTTTCACCGTGCGAAAGCGAGCGGGTCTAGGTTGTCTCGCTATTTTGCTCCTTTACCCGATCAGAAACTGGTTTTGTAACTGAACTTTCGCTTCTATGAAGCCAACTCTTCGCGTCGCTCGACCGTCACCGAGTAATTGCAATACGGTACACGCAGCGGTTAATTGTCTGGATTTCGTGCGACGATGATTCTACGCGCAGCCGCGAAACGAAATTCAACGTAGCTCCCGGATTTTTCGCGTTTTTCGACGCGTTCGGCCGTGAAACCGGGACCACGAGCGAATCCGAAACGCAATTTCGCGTGTAATCAGGATGTGCAAGTCCGAACCACCTTGCGAAACAAAGAATCCGTGCTGAGGAGCGTGCACCTGCTCGAGCCCCACATCCGCCGTTTATGGTTACACTCCCTTCTGATATCGTGTCATCGTTTTTCCAATCTGCTGCCTCGGAAATAACATTAGGGTAGTTCTGTGCTGTACTAAACATCTCCTTCGACCTTTTATTATACGCTTATGGTAGGACCTCGATTACCCGAGTCCCCATTTCTCGCAATCTAGATCACCCAGAGTCTCGAGTGTCTACGTGCAAACTCGATAATTTGGATTCTTAAAGTATACCCTAGAGTGTATGCAATTGGAATTTTGAAAGCGTTGAAGAATTTCTTCCCGAGTCTCTACGTGAACAACCGGTACCAAATAAATCCGATAACCGAGATTCTACTGTACTTTACAACATTAGGGCACTATGGAAGAACTACACAAAACTCCTCCGAAATTTCATTGCATATACACTTGCACATTCAATCTAGTATATCAACAATAACAACATCACGGTAGTTCTCTGCACAGAACTTCTTCGAAATTTCGTTGCACGTACGCTAAGCATTCTTTCCACTCGTTTGCACACACTCTGTCGAGTCTATCCGCAAAGCTAGCTTCGAAATCTTCAAAACAAGGACACCGATCAGTACAGTCCGTTTAAAGTCCGTAATCGACTCACATTTTAGGCGTAACCTTCATTTTTCCACCTGCTGAGACGTTGACTCGCGATTGACGAATTTCGAGTGCACGTCACCGCGATCGGAGACGCGGAATTGCGTAACACGGGTTCACTGTCGTCTCATTCTTGGATAAGAGCAATCGCCGCGTGCTTTCCTTCACAGAAACCATCCACGGTTTAGCGTCAGCTGGCGAAAAGTTGGCTTGAATAGCAACGCGATCGATAATCCCATCGTTTTCGTTGGGGGTGTGGACTGGTACTAAGGCACGAGGGGGTATTTCAGTGCGCGCGCACATTGCAACCGGGAGATGCCCTGTCATTGCGCATTCGCACGGATATCGATATTTCACGTGTTCGACGTTGCATTACCGTGACTCCTTCTCTGTCACTGGACGGCGACCGTTCGATTGTGACCGTTCGGTTGACAGAATCTGCATTTTTCATGTCGCGTCGGTCGTCCGATGCCAGATCCGTGATACTAGTTGTGTCCTTTGCGAATAAATACTTCTCTATGGTAGTCGAGAAAATTCTTGACAGTGGAGTGTTTCAATCAGGCACCAAACATTCGTTATTCGCGGTGAATTGTTGTATCCACTTGTTGCAATAGTGCATCTTTAATCGATTAGTTAATATCATATATTTGTTATACAATGCTTCAAGGAATAAAAGGTTAATTGAATAAAGTGAATAAAGTGAATTCTTATTCGATGAATTATTATTATTATTCGTGAACACCGAATGCAATTTTGTTCGTTACTCTTATCTTTTAACCTTCGTCCGTGTAAAGTTCAAGTTTCGGAAAAACATATGTGGTAATTATATATTGTTACGATCGTTGTATCTGATAACCGTGCGTTACGATAAGAATATTCGATTTCGATAATAAAATTATATAGAATTGTACAAGTTGCAACAAAAGTTCCAGCAGTCGGAGTCTAAAGTACTCTCGTGCTCGTTTCGCAGCAGATTACATTTGTACAGCGGATCGCACACTCGACGTTGAACAAGTTGTTTTTGCAACAACCTCGATGTGTTCTCTAGTGTTTAACGCATTCGCCGGCGGTGTCGGATGTTGTTGACGATCCGCGTCTTAGGTAAAGAAAGTTGAATTAATTCGGCGCGTGTTGTTATCCGACGTCGTAGCGCGCATCCTGGCATTCTGGAACCGAATGACTTTCCTTATTACATTCGTTTTGCAGAGTGGCTACGCTACGTTTAATTGCATATTGTAATTAAGAAGACCGTTAGCGAAACGAATGACGGCCGGCGAGACTGTTAGTAGTTTTCACGCCGCGTTCTCTCGATTGAAAGTGTATTAGGCGGTAATGCAAATAAGTCTGGTTTCCAGTGTAAACACGTTCTAACTCTGGAAACTTAATTACAATTCAGTTTTATTTCACTACTACTTGAAACCAATAAGAACATAGTCCTAAGCCCTAAGCTTTGAAAGTTGAAGTTTCTAGCGCTTAGAGCACGAATGAACCTTGAAGCTTCAAAGACGCAGTCTTCAAGATTGAACCACGAAATTCGAAGACTCGAGCTTTAAAGAACTCTGACCCCGCAAGATTCAATGTTTAATGTTGAAGCTTTAAGGACTCGAGTTGTTTACTCTGTATGATAGAAGTACGACGAAACCAACAGCATGGATCCGCGACGCTGGTCATGTTGACCAATTAACAGTTAACCGACGTGGTCACCGATGACCGTTACGAAGAGACAAGTGATACTATACAAAACGCAGAAAATTCTCGCGGCGGTCAGCGCGTTAACATACCTCTACGAATTGCTTCAGAGTAAACACTTTCATTTCAAACAGAACTATGCATTTCCCCCCTCCGTTCCCATCGGCACTTTCATCGAGCAACTCCGCTACAATGTATCCTCGGGGACTCAACAGAGGTTGAACGGTCCTATAGAAAGCATGCTAGACAATCGTACATACCTGTACATGAAAAATGAAAAAACGTCGCCGAGGCGCGCGCGTGCGTCGACGTTCCACCTAAAAAACGCGACCTTCCACGTGCATCGGGCCGATAACGCGGCTCGCCGCGCGGCTCGTTGCACGCACGCGTAGGTCAGGGAAGCAAATTCCAAAATGGAATCAACAACGCCGCCGTGGTTACGTAACAACCATACACTAACCTCGATTCTCGATGATTCTCGACGTCCCGGTGGTTCTCGGTCATAACCTAATTTTAGACCGAATTCACCATCACACGGAGAGAGAGAGAGAGAGGCGCGCGCGCGCGACCGCTCGTACGTAAGCTGTGTCTCCCGCACACAACCGACCTCGTGCCGATGCGACACTGATAATCGAATCGTGTCCACTCGATATGAAACGGAGAAAAAAGGCTCCGATCGCGAACGCGAGGCGGCCGAGTCGCGAACCCGAGTACGAGTGTCCGGGAGTTGCAGACGGTGCAAGGCTTAAACTGCGACTGGCTTGAAAGGCCTGATAGTTACTTGCATCCCAGGTGCAGTAGGCTAGCCTAGATTCTCTTTGCAGACTATTAGTCGCGAGCAAGAGTGTAGAACAGACGCATGCGCGGGTAATGATCATCCGAGTAGGTTCATTGTTCCGTCGCTCATCCCGGAACCCCGGCCCGGTTATCATTGTTAACGATACTCATTGTCAGACCGCAAGAAAGACTCCGTCCGTCCTCCACCGGAAACAGATTACGTTCGACGAACTGCGCTGGACAGTTTCCGATTGGCCACCCAACGCGGCTTTCGTTCGGAGCAAATTATCGTTCACGCGAATCGATCCTTCCTTCGACGGTTCGGTCGCTGAAAGTGTCCTTTCGGTCCCATTTTTCAAGGATATTCAAACGTTAATTAACGACACAGCAAGTTCTTTCTATATCTTCTTTCTCCGTCTCTCGGGAAACTCTGTCTGCTTATCTTCGAAGTGGGTTTTACCTTTGTACACTTTGCAGATTTTTAATCTTTCTTTTGAGGTAGGTGAAGAATAGAATGAGTAGATCGTGCGATGTCCTACAAGCACGATGACTGTACATTGTCATCGTGGAATATAACACTTCCTGTTCATTAATTGCAGGCATTCTTACATCACTGTCTTAAACCTGTCACTCGTTATCAGTGATTATCCAAAGTGATCGTTCGATCGTTTATCAAGATAACAAGAGAATACAAGCTCCTAATACCTCAAAATGCATGAAAGATCCCAAAGACAACCTGCTTGTAAATATCTGTCTCGAAAGATCAGAGTCACAAAATTAATCTTCGCACTTCCGAAAAAACTCCCCTAACATCTCCTGTCAACGAATCCCAAGAAACCTCATTCGTGTCAGTATTTCCAGGACGTTTCCTCGAAGGTCATCGGAGTATCAGAGACAATAATAGCCTCCCGTGCACTTCGGTATCAATTGTTCGATACAGAACCGCTATCGATTTCGCAATGGCGTGTCTGATCGGCTTTCGAACGGCACAATCGTCGATCAATATTTGCCGCGATCGGGCGCGATGAATCCGCTAGCGAGCGAGCTGCCGGAGAGTTCGAAGACACGTCTCGCCGCTCGCGTTGCCGGGGGAGAAAAACGGCGCGCGTTTCCGTGAGAGTGCGGGCCGCACAGAATGGCGGGAAATAGAACGCCGGGGAATTCTCACATACGGACACGCGTATTCCCCGGAGGATTCTCCGAACGGTAGGAAAAAAGCGGCAGCTGGAAGCAGGCTCCTAGAATCTAGATAATTCCTCGGCTCTCCGAGCGGTTCGGGATCCTCTCGTTTTCCTCCTCCAGGGCGGCGCTTCCTCCTGCCCGTTCGACCTCTTTAACGGCTCCATTTCAACCGTCGTTTCGTACCGTTCCGCGCCGCTGTACCGCGCCGTAACTTCCGAGGAAATTACACCGTCCGAACCGCGCGTAATTTCGCTTCGTTTCTTCATTTCCCTTCGGCGCGATGGCGAGCCGCTCGCGCATTTCGCGCATTTCGCGCGGCCATTACTCCGTCGAGATGTCTACGGCGCGGATTCGCCACGCGTCGATACTGAGTCGAAAAATCGTACGTGCTAAGGAATTATATTGTCGAATCTAAGTCGTTGGATTAGATTTTTGGAAATTGGAAAGGTGATTCTTGACATCGATCGAATGATAAAGGGCAAGAGTTACAGATTATATTTCGAGGTATTAGGAATTAGAAATCATTGTTCATAATTCTTGATCAATCGAGGACAAAGGTGGATCTAGTATTCTTGGATCGTAGTGCCCATCGATCACTCGCGGTCCCGACGACAGCTGATATTCGAAATTTGTTAACCGACCCCCGGTCTCCGGTTTCGACACTCCTCGAACAGGATGGAAGATTTATTGGCTAAAGGGTGGCCGCGTGCTGCGCGAGTCCCCGTGTTTTCGGAATTTTTACGTTCTCGATCATGTTCGGGAATTTTCGTGTATCCCACTTCATTCGACGGTTAATTATATAACCGTTTTAGGATCGAAATAATTAACTCCATGTTTTTAATTTTCTCAGATATTAGCACCACGACACTCAATCGACGCTTAACTTTCTATATTGAAACGAAATTTCCTCGATAATTTCGCGGAGTTAATCGCTTCCCGCATTAACCGGCCGTATGCGAGCGCCATGATTCCTTGTGCAGGCTCGAAAATTACTCGGTGGCTCAATTCCCGGCGATATACTTGATCGAGGTAGTCGACACACTAATCGATGTTACCAATTTTGAATTCCCAATTTTCGATTCATTAAACGAATCGATCCGGTTGTGCGGGATTTTTACGAGTGCGGGCGCCGCGATCGGCTCGCCGGTATTAAAGCCATCAAATTTTTACTCGAAGAATAGCAAAAACCTTATCCCGTTACTGTCTAGTAATTAATAGAATTATCTTAGGATTCTGAGATTTTAAGATCCAGCCATTAAGACTGAGCCTCGAAGCTTCGAGGACTCGAGTGTTTTACAACACCGAGCCAGAGAATCGTCTAGCTGAAGCGGAGCATTAGAAAGCATCCA